ATTCATTCATTCATTCATTCATTCATTCATTCATTCACTGGGGTATCGCCTGCCGTAATTTTAAGGACTGTTGTTGCAATTCGGTCACATTACTCCATATAGGACGGCATTGCAGAACAAACACTTACATGATAGATATGAAGCAAAGATTGGTGTTGTACTAAGCAAGGTTTCCAGAATTTTTGGCATAAATGCTGCGAATCCGTTGATGATGATAGATTCGAATATACCTATGATGATACAGACGATGAACGTTGGATTCCGAAGGATTTTCTGCAAAACATCGATTTTTCTAAAAAGTCAAGTAATCATTCTGAATTACCATAACGACAGCTGGTAGTTTTTTCACCTCCCTCGGAGCTTTTTCATTGGCATCAGCAGCGTTCGCGGCGTGGACCTGGAAACAACTGCTTAAAAGCAAAAAGCCATTTCTGAGAAATTTCTAGAAACCTGATTGACGTCCTTAGCTCTGTGATGTCTTGCTTCTGGTAGTTCCCGAGCAAAGGCAAGGATAGGAAACGCAATAATTAGAGCGGATATGGACGATATGAGAAAGCCAATCCACCAGGCACCAATCCATCGCGGGTCATTTCGAGCGATTGGGGGACTTGAATAGATTTTTTGTCTTTATAGGCATGCAGTAAAAAGGAAACTCACTGATCTACTCTGTCAAAATCATCGTAGATGTTTAAGAGCGCTCCACCGGCGAAGACTCCAATAACGGGTCCGAACGATGTCAGAACAGCATGCACAGCTACAGTAATGGTTACGGTAGTTTTGTAAACGAGAATTTTCAACTTACCTAGATAGACGGGTGAGGCCTTCTGTGAGACATTCTCGTCAATATAAGTGGTTCCTATGGAAAACAACGGTGTTGATCCAACTCCATGAAGTGTTTGACCAAGTAAGAATAGTAGAAAATAAGGACTGAGATAAGACGATATCGGTTGTTTTTCACAGGTTTTGACCTCAAGGTCTCTGAAAAGAATTTGAGTTTTGAATGTTTCTTGAAATCAGTTTTAATTGCATGGTGTGGATCAAAGACTAAATCCCTGGCTAAAAAATGTTTTCAAGTCTTGCAAAATTTTCGCAGATTTTTCCGTTACTTCATTTTCAGTAATCTGATGTATGAAATTACCTAAGGGTACATTGCCCAAAATCTGTTGTGTTCATTTCCGAGTGCTCTGGCTGATACGGACTGATGAGCCAGTGAGGCATAACACATATCAAGGAGCCGAGTGCCATGACAATTCCACCCCATCCTATCCATCGTCCTTTGTGTCCTGAAAAGATGTTCGGGTCTTGGAAGCTATAGTTGATGCCCAGATCAGCAAGATTCCACGTGTTGAATACTTCTTATAAAGCTGGATATATAAGTTCACTGTTCGACTCTCGATAAACCTCGGCATATATCTGATATCTTCACATTCTTTACTGAGCTATACACGATATTTTCATACTTTTTATTCAAAACACGGCTAACGTTTCGGTAATCGCATTATGTTAGCAGACGTTTTTATATACTTCTCAGCTCAGAATAGCTGATATAGATATGGCGATAGTTCACGCGTGATTTGCAAGCACTACTCTTTTCGGTTCATTTTAGATTTGCAGCTTGAATTCAGAATGCTTCCAAACATTTGCGCGCTGATGTCTTAGGTCGCTCATTCACATGTTTTGTTTCTACGCCAAAATTTATGTCGAAACCAAATTTTTTTCGCACATGCCGCATTACCGGTCAGTGCTCAGAGATGTAGACGGACGCGATCTATCCCTGCCGTCAAGTTCTTTTATACCAATGTATAGCGGAAGGGCTGTTTCGCTAATTATTCTTAGCCACAGATCGATCATTGTAATCAAACAGCTTGCTAATTGGCAAGACCGGTAAAGAGCCTATGAAGGTGTGCGTATCTTGTTTTAAGGCAGTCAAAATTTTTCTGATAGGGGAGAAGCATACCATTGGGAAGGGGTTTGCATCAAAAGGCTATCATAATTATGGAAATTAATCTGTGTCTAAGTCACAACTTACCGCTATTTCCCCAATGACAGACCGGAAATACAACGAGAAGCACTGCAAAATCATACCAACTTGAGATAATCCCCGTGTGGGTGCTGTAAATGAAAGCAGATTATCACGCTGGTATAACACTACCGACGTATACACCAAGGTTTCCCTATCAATTGAATGTCTCACCTTGTCATTTTGAATCTCCTTTCCAATGTGGATAGACCAACAGGAAATATCGCATTTACTACAAAACTCTGCAAATAATGGCAAATTCAGCATGAGTCATACATGTCCTT